TTGTGTTTCAGTGTTGGATGAGAAAGTTTGTGTTTCAGTGTTGGATGAGAAAGCTTGTGTTTCATTGTTGGATGAGAAAGCTTGTGTTTCAGTGTTGGATGAGAAAGCTTGTGTTTCAGTGTTGTTCCTACCTGTATACGTTGTTTCTGAACGGATGTGCCGCAAGGCTCATGATGATAAAGGATTGAATTGAAATTTATAACAGATATGAACAGTGATATGGGCAAGCTGAGAGTAGAAATGGAAAGGAAACTCAAACGGTTAAATGTGCTCCGTGATCGGATCGATACAAGGAGATCTGTTCAGAAAGTGGGGAGGATCAAAGTGAAACAAACAGACAATAAGATATTGTAATAAAGAACCTAGAAGATTTTTAACAAAAGAAAGAATAAAATGGACACCAGTTCACCAAGCGTGGTCAGGGTAGCTGCAGTACATGTTACATGACATAGCAAGGACACGCTTGTTAATAACAAAAAGAAAGGTTTGATAAGTAACAGCAAGCATAACAAAGCACATATTAGTAAAAATAAAAACGGAACTAAAAATATATCCAGCGATTAGATCGGTACGACAGGGACAACATTAACACGCGCACATGCAACAGTACACGTGATTCGAACACCAATGATAGGTACAGGAGCCAGGAAGGAGAGAAAATCATCTACATCTTCTGTCTATGTACGTGTATGTTAATTACCTCAAGCAAACAGTACATAGAAGGTAATTGTTTACCACAGACGTTTACATCACGTCCACAAAACCTCTCTTATGCTGGTTTTAGATTGATGCTGTTGAGGTGAATTTTAAAGCATGATATGCTGGTACTTACATATACCATCCTAACAAAGGCTCAGTACCAGGATATCTCTGCTATGTTTTAGGTAAAAGATGTTTTAATCGTGAATTAATATTGTGAAACTTGAATGAATTATTTTATCATTGTTATTATGTAAAGTGTTATTTACCTATACACTAGTCCCATGACACTCTAGCAGTGAGTTTACTAAACGTCACGTCCGGTGAAATATATTGTATTTACAGACAGAACATAACTGAAATTATCTGTATTTTATAAGTTATAGGACGGGCCTCGATATCAATATGTGACACTGTTGTGTATGTGACTATATATATAACAGGGTTTTATATTGGTGCTGATTTTACTTCCGGTTTAACACCTGTCTTCTGTTAATCTGGGTTTTTTCGTCTTCCCTCCTGATTTACCAAAAGACTGACATAATTAGTCGGCTAGTCGTTAGGAGCCTGGAATGGCCTAAGGAGTTTTTACACGGCTGTACAATTACGTTGTAGAACCAGTACTTATGTACGGTAGTGCTTTATGGGGAACGGAGATGCATTTGGTTATAAATACACTGCAAAACAAAGCATGTTGCTTCTACCTAGGGGTTGGAATATATACTTCTAATGTCACTACTAGAGACAGAGACGTATATATCACATGTGTTATATATGTCTCTGATAGAGGTGATATGGGGCGGCGTTCGTGTCTATATAAACAGAATGTCTCGTGTGTGAAACTGTTGTGTAACATCCCTAGGCTCGAAGAGCATCAGTTACAGAGTGTTCATCTCAACAACGACAAGAATGTGGCACCCTGTAATACATGTGCTTGTTTTAGTTATTATATTTGTCTTTTATTCGTGTTCATTGGCGCAAGCGTCGGTTACTTTCGTTTTGTCAAATGTTTATATCTAGTAGGCCTGGAACAGGCATACTGTGTTGTTGGTTGCATACTGTACATGTGCTGGACACTGACTGACCACTTGACCTGTGACATGCGCTGTTCAATTCTATCTTCCTTTTCCCGCCTAACCGTTCCTTCCTTTATTACTTCTGATTTTGGGCTCGAACTGGAAAGACATGTTTTCTTCGTCTTACATTACTTTGATGTCCGTCGTGTCATATACAGAGTAAGTCTTCCATTTATATTGCAAATTGTTTATACCTATACAAATTATTCATAAAGATCATTTGTTTATCTATTTCAAGGCAGCAATTCAATTATTTTAGATTAATCTATATTTTCAGCTGATCTATCAGGATGAGATCAACATCTTTTTTAGAGTACGATATGTAATCCACTATTTCTGTTTAGGTCTTGGTATAAGTCATTTATGTCCCATGTAAATTAAAGTAGTGTGCAGCATATTTGTAATAAGCTACGTATAAGAGTAATTGTTCAGTTTTTTGTACTACAGAGAAACTATGTATTGTCAGTAACGTGAGTGGGAATGTTACTGTGTGTTGTTTCGTAAGTGTGTTTGCTTTAGGGTTCGTTCTAATACGAGTTTTACCATGTAAAGTAATATGATATTTGTATTATTTTAGGAATTTCGAAAGCTATGCATGTACTGTGAATTAAACAAATGTGGAATGACATCGTCTCGTTCGGTTTGTTGTAGAAGAAAACCCTAAATCCCGACTGTGCTACAGAATGCTACACAGTACAAAAGTCTGTGTGACGATATAGACACAGATAACCGCATATCTAACATAAACCTTTCATCAAAATCTGCAGTGAAAGAATTCTTACCGAAATTATCAGTAGACGATAGTCGTGAGTGGCAAGCTTAGCTTTCTGACGATTGTAGTAATATGCACGGAAACAAGCTTCGTACATAAAGACAGTTCACGAATGACGTTATTGTCGAACGTTACGTCAGAGTGGACATATCTAGATGTGCAGGCTCACTTCCTCTGGACGGGACGATACGCCAGACCGCCCTATCAACTAATGGACAGACTTTGTTCCAAATGTGACCACCATAAAATGGAGGATGAAAAACATTTTCTAATAGAATGCAATTTATATGATGACATAAGAAGCAGTCTTTTTGAAAAATGGTTTTCTGTCGTTGGCGGTTTCTGTAACACGGACAAGGATACTTAACTCATTAACATAATGAAAAGTGGTGATCTCCAGCCAACAATTACAAGCTTTGTTACAATGTTCTTCAATAGAAGATATTTATTTTCATAGAACTTAGTTATTAATCAGTAACTGTAAGTTACACTAGTATATATGACGATGGACATTTTATTAATCAGTATACACACTGATAAGATTTATCAGTAACTGTAAGTTGTAGTATATATGACGATGGACATTTCTACCTTTGATAGTCTAAGTAATACACACTGATATGATAGAACGGTAAGATTTATCAGTAACTGTAAGTTGTATTAGTATATATGACGATGGACATTTCTACCTTTGATAGTCTAAGTAATACACACTGATATGATAGAACGGTAAGATTTATCAGTAACTGTAAGTTGTATTAGTATATATGACGATGGACATTTCTACCTTTGATAGTCTAAGTAATACACACTGATATGATAGAACGGTAAGATTTATCAGTAACTGTAAGTTGTATTAGTATATATGACGATGGACATTTCTACCTTTGATAGTCTAAGTAATACACACTGATATGATAGAACGGTAAGATTTATCAGTAACTGTAAGTTGTATTAGTATATATGACGATGGACATTTCTACCTTTGATAGTCTAAGTAATACACACTGATATGATAGAACGGTAAGATTTATCAGTAACTGTAAGTTGTATTAGTATATATGACGATGGACATTTCTACCTTTGATAGTCTAAGTAATACACACTGATATGATAGAACGGTAAGATTTATCAGTAACTGTAAGTTGTATTAGTATATATGACGATGGATATTTCTACCTTTGATAGTCTAAGTAATACACACTGATATGATAGAACGGTAAGATTTATCAGTATCTGTAAGTTGTATTAGTATATATGACGATGGACATTTCTACCTTTGATAGTCTAAGTAATACACACTGATATGATAGAACGGTAAGATTTATCAGTAATTGTAAGTTACACTAGTATATATGTATATATTATAGTATTCAGTAATTGTAAATTACAGTATATATATATGAGTGTGTGTCGGATGTTTTACATCTCTGATATCTACAATGATATAATGGTTTAATTGACTGTGATTGATTTTAAGAATTTAAATCAGAGACCTAACTAACCAAGGAGATAAGCAATTACACATACGTCTCTGCAAATGACATTATGTATGTATGTATGTATGTATGTATGTATGTATGTATGTATGTGTATGTATGTATGTATGTATGTAGGTTGTATGTATATAGGTAGGTAGGTAGGTAGGTAGGTAGGTATGTATGTAGGTAGGTAGGTAGGTAGGTAGGTAGGTAGGTAGGTATGCATGTATGCATGTATGTATGTATGTATGTATGTATGTATGTATGTATGTATGTATGTATGTATGTATGTATGTATGTATGTATGTATGTTTGTATGTATGTATGTATGTATGTATGTATGTATGTATTTTTTTTAACTTTATTTATTTTACAATAATTGCGAAACAATTTTTTTCTCGACTCATACTTATCACTTTTGTAGGGTCGGATGTAGGCGCGCGAGGGGTCTTATTGTGGGGTAAACTTGAGTACCCGGGGAAAACCCACGTGGTCAGGCAGGTGAACCCATACCTTTTCTCGTCCGTTCCGGGAATCTCCGGAGGCTAGTTGAAAGGCGAGTGCGTTACCACTGCGCCATCCGACCATCCTACTATTATATTTGTAATAATTTTATCTAATTTATAAGTATGTTGATAATTCTCTCGCATATCACTGCGACCGGAGCAAACGTCTCGGATCAAGCAAAACCTGTCATTTCATTTAAGGAAGGAATGTTATGTAGTACATTATATATACACATCACAATAAGCAAGTTTGTATAAAGCGCTTCTGTGCGTTTGTCTTTGCTCCGTCTGTCTTTGCTCCGTCTGTCTTTTCTCCGTTTGTCTTTGCCCCGTCTGTCTTTTCTCGGTTGATCTTTTCTCGGTTTATCTTTGCTCCGTTTGTCTTTGCTTCGTTTTCTTTGCTCCTTTGTCTTTGCTTCGTCTGTCTTTTCTCCGTTTGTCTTTGTTCCGTCTGTCTTTTCTCGGTTTATCTTTTCTCGGTTGATCTTTGCTCCGTTTGTCTTTGCTTCGTTTTCTTTGCTCCGTTTGTCTTTGCTTCGTCTGTCTTTTCTCCGTTTGTCTTTGTTTCGTCGGTCTTTTCTCGGTTTATCTTTGCTCCGTCTGTCTTTGCTCCGTTTGTCTTTGCTCCGTTTGTCTTTGTTCCGTCTGTCTGTTCTCGGTTTGTCTTTGCTCCGTTTGTCTTTGTTCCGTCTGTCTTTTCTCGGTTGATCTTTGCTCCGTTTGTCTTTGCTTCGTTTTCTTTGCTCCGTTTGTCTTTGCTTCGTCTGTCTTTTCTCCGTTTGTCTTTGTTTCGTCGGTCTTTTCTCGGTTTATCTTTGCTCCGTCTGTCTTTGCTCCGTTTGTCTTTGCTCCGTTTGTCTTTGTTCCGTCTGTCTTTTCTCGGTTTGTCTTTGCTCCGTTTGTCTTTGTTCCGTCTGTCTTTTCTCGGTTTATCTTTGCTTCGTCTGTCTTTGCTCCGTTTGTCTTTGCTCCGTTGCTCTGTTTTACGTGAGACAATGACAGATGTCAAATTTAACTCTACGTGTAACAGTGAAAGGGCCTGTTTGTAATTCTGTTTTACGTGTAACATTGACAAGGGCCGCCTGTAACCCTGTTTTACGAGTTACAGCGACAAGGGCCGGCTGTAGCTCTGTTTTACGTCGAACAGTAACAAGGGCAGACTGTAACCCTGTTTTACGTGAAACAATGACAGATGTCAAATTTAACTCTACGTGTAACAGTGAAAGGGCCTGTTTGTAATTCTGTTTTACGTGTAACATTGACAAGGGCCGTCTGTAACCCTGTTTTACGAGTTACAGCGACAAGGGCCGGCTGTAGCTCTGTTTTACGTCGAACAGTAACAAGGGCAGACTGTAACCCTGTTTTACGTGAAACAATGACAGATGTCAACTTTAACTCTACGTGTAACAGTGAAAGGGCCTGTTTGTAACCCTGTTTTACGTGTAACATTAACAAGGGCCGACTGTAGCTCTGTTTTACGTGTAACAGTGACAAGGGCCGACTGTAATCCTGTTTTAAGTGTAAGCTTGTTTGAGCAACAAATAAAGTTAAATATCAGTTAATTATGAAAGTCGACGGAGAACACGGTACCATCCTTGTCTTTAAGAGTACTTCTCAGTCGGTTGTGTCTCTCGATCGTTTTAACATTTCTAGAATCCGTACGATCGATCAAGACAGTATTGTCTGATAGCATACAGTGGGATAAACGTAAAGAACACATTGAAAGGAGGCTAATTCAAACACTTGACAAATTACACAAGATCACCAAATAAATGTCCCTTTTCATAAATATCAATAAAGCATTTCCCCTCCGCCGCGGCGAGAGCTCATTTTCCTCCGTTAATTATCTACCTTACGAAAACTGTGGACATTGACTTGACTGGTAATATAATTTACCACGTACCCTACACTTAATTGTAAATCATATTTATATAAAAATGGAGTATCACAGGACACGAAACATTAAAGTGATTAACTTTATATCTGTCTACACGGTATATATCTCGTGTCCTACAAACACAGTCGAGCTTCAATAGACATTGTTAATGGGGCCCCATCTCGTGTCTTGGCAGGTCGTGTTAATGGTGCTTCAACGCACCGTCATAAGGCTGTGTTTATGGGGCTCCAAACTCCAGTGACATATTTGTATTACATGCCCAAAAAAGTACATGCTGTATGTGACATGCCGTGGGTAGTTATAGGAACTATCGTAATAGAGATGGAATTCCAAATTGGACTGACGATGTATGAGGCTCTATCACTACTTTCACGAAATACGTTTTAGCATTAAGGGGTCATGTCACTCAATAGATGATAGCTAAAGGCTGAAGAGAGAAGCCAATGTTGGGATAAAATAAATTTTGTTAGCAATGGTTGGGAGGTAATCTGTATCGAGTAAGAGATATTTGGATGAAACTGCTGAAGAGAGACTGAGACTATCCAGTCCAACTAACCCTACAAAATGTTTACAAATGTGTGGTGGCTCATACCTGACATTTCGTCTTTTCGCTTTGATTTCCGCGAAAAGACACCAGGAAAAAAATAAAAATAACTAATCTGCCAAAGCGAGAACACGCCAAAAAAGGTAAAAAGACGCTATTTAGACTTCACGCTTTGGCGTCTTTTACACCTCGCTTTTATGTCGTTTCTTTATTTCGCTTTCGCAGATTTTCGTCTTTTCGTTATTTTTCTTTGGCGGGTTTTCGTCTTTTCGTTATTTTGCTTTGGCAAGTTTTTCGTCTTTTCGTTATTTTTCTTTGGCAAGTTTTTCGTCTTTTCGTTATTTGGCTTTGGCGAGTTTCGTCTTTTCGTTATTTGGCTTTGGCGGGTTTCGTCTTTTCGTTATTTGGCTTTGGCGGGTTTCGTCTTTTCGTTATTTGGCTTTGGCGGGTTTCGTCTTTTCGTTTTTTTCATCATGCGTCTTTCCGCGGAAAACAAAGCGAAATTGTGAGGTTTAAGCGACCATAAAACAACACACTGATTGGTGTGTAATTGATCAACAGTGATGATTTTTCCATATCCTAATTCAAGGTCACATCACATTAGATATGGATGGTTTTTAGTTATTTTTAGACACACTTGAAAGTGAGGCTAGAATGTCATTGATCAATAATTTTTAAACATTGAGATTGACGTTATTTTAAAACGATGAAATGTTTTCTCTGTTCTAGATGGTGGGTTGGAACTTCTGGTTGCCAAGTTACCGTCAACTATCAATGACGTCAACTGTGACGCGTCTAGTGTGATCTGCGAGGTCGGGTAAGTGCGGGTGTTTAGTTTGTTGAAAAGTAAATTATTTTTATTCTTACTAGAAAACATTCTACAATATACTATACTGTCGTACACTGTACCAAGCACTAATTAGGTGCCTCCAGTAAAATCGCTCATGTTCATTGGAGTTTCTAAAATAGGAGCAAATTTCTTAGGCGCCCAACTCTACACCGTTCATATGTGTATGACATTTCGCCTACACAACACGTGCACGTCCCGAGAAAAATTCTTAAGGAAGTGGAGCACAGGTGCTCCGCACATAATTCTAAGCTAATATAAATGAAAAATTTTAATTGAATGATAATGAACTAAGGCTGAAAATCTCTTAGCTCCACATGAACAAATAAGATGTAACGTAGACTTGATAACCTTTACGTATCATGCATTGTATCTTCAAACTCCCTCATTGTTTTAGCATTAACAACACAGATAGGTAGGTTATTCCACACATCACTCTGTATAAGAATGAGGTTCTCCGTAACTCTGTGTTTTATCGATGTTTGTACATTATTTTAAATCGTGTACTCGTGTTATGTAGGTCTTTATCAATGGTAAATAGATTGGACATAGATTCTTTAATTAATAATTATTTTACAAAACTGTTATGTCCCATCCCATGCTACGGTACTTTAATATTGGATTTTTTATTGTTTTTTTTTAATCCTGGTACAAGTTAATCACCATCCACTAAATACTCTCATTTAGCAGTGTACAGGTTCCACGTGCTTGCTGTATGATTTTAGTGTTGTCTAACTCATGTCTTGTTCAAATGTTTAGATATGGATTCATGTATATATATCTGAAGGACTTTACAATGTCCAGTACTAAACTGGTTTTATCTTCACAAGTTTGTACAAGAGTCATTAAGCCTAGCTCCTTATCTGCCGTTATACATAAACATATGCTTTCTCAGGTCGCTATCCCCTGTTATACCTAAACTTATGCTTTCTAAGCTTGTTATCCGCCGTTATACCTAAACCTATGCTTTCTCAGCTTGTTATCTGCCGTTATACCTAAACCTATGCTTTCTCAGCTTGTTATCCGCCGGTATATCTAAACCTTTCCTTTGTCAGCTTATCCGCCGTTATACATAAACGTATGCTTTCTCAGTTCGTTATCCGCCGTAATACCCAAACCTATGCTTTCTTACCTTGTTATCCGCCGTTATACCTAAACCTATGCTTTCTCAGCTTGTTATCTGCCGTTATACCTAAACCTATGCTTTCTCAGCTTGTTATCCGCCGGTATATCTAAACCTTTCCTTTGTCAGCTTATCCGCCGTTATACATAAACGTATGCTTTCTCAGTTCGTTATCCGCCGTAATACCCAAACCTATGCTTTCTTACCTTGTTATCCGCCGTTATATCTAAACCTATGCATTATCAGCTTGTTATCCGCCGTTATACCTAAACCTGTGCTTTCTCAGCTTGTTATCCGCCGTTATACCTAAACCTATGCTTTCTCAGCCTGTTATCCGCCGTTATACCTAAACCTATGCTTTCTTAGCTTGTTATCCGCCGTTATACCTAAGCCTATGCTTTCTCAGCCTGTTATCCGCCGTTATACCTAAACCTATGCTTTCTCAGCTTGTTATCCGCCGTTATACCTAAACCTGTGCTTTCTCAGCTTGTTATCCGCCGGTATACCTAAGCCTATGCTTTCTCAGCCTGTTATCCGCCGTTATACCTAAACCTATGTTTTCTAAGCTTGTTATCCGCCGTTATACCTAAGCCTATGCTTTCTCAGCCTGTTATCCGCCGTTATACCTAAACCTATGCTTTCTCAGCTTGTTATCCGTCGTTATATCTAAACCTATGCTTTCTTAGCTTGTTATCCGCCGTTATACCTAAACCTATGCTTTCTCAGCCTGTTATCCGCCGTTATACCTAAACCTGTGCTTTCTCAGCTTGTTATCCGCCGTTATACCTAAACCTATGCTTTCTCAGCCTGTTATCCGCAGTTATACCTAAACCTATGCTTTCTCAGCTTGTTATCCGCAGTTATACCTAAACCTATGCTTTCTCAGCCTGTTATCCGCAGTTATACCTAAACCTATGCTTTCTCAGCCTGTTATCCGCAGTTATACCTAAACCTATGCTTTCTCAGCTAGTTATCCGCCGTTATACCTAAACCTATGCTTTCTCAGCTAGTTATCCGCCGTTATACCTAAACCTATGCTTTCTCCACCTTCTGGTCCACGAGATGATGACTTTACATGGAAAACATTGAGTTTATTTGGATGGAAGTTTTGTTGCCAGTTGCCTGATCATTCCGACAATATGATAACAATTTCGATGTCTTGGATTCGTTTGACTTACTTCTCATTTTTCTTACCATAAAGGTGATTTCACACAAATTAAATCAGAATTTCTCTCCACTGCTCGAAGCAGACGATGTAAAACTAAGCAGGTAACAATTCGGATTTTTTTCAGCGATTGTCAAATTTCAGTAAAAAAAAAACAATATTCTGTTCAGAGAGGCATTTTATAAAATTGAAATTCTCTCCAGAATGCCGTAAAATATTTATATCTACCTCTCTGTTTTATCTAACTACTTGACTTGAGGTAATACTTTTCTCTTTGTTTAGAGGAATAAAAATGTCCTTCATTTTTCCGAGTTCTTTTACACCTACCAATATCGTGACATCACAACATATACATGATCACACAAAACGATAACGACACAATAATGGCGACCATGCACTGGAGGGCGACAAACATTCACTGCATGTTAAATAGTTTGTTTCAATAGCCCTTCCGATTTGTTTTTGATCCAAGAGAGTTGTTCCGTTTTATAGGGAAGTAACTAGTAACACAGAGTTAATAAGAGAGGATGGGACAAACAAAATTGCATATTATACTGCAGATGTCGCTTTTTGAATCTCCCTTTTCCATCTATATCGATCTCCAAAGCACCGCCACATTTCAAGATCGAACGATCTGGTAAAATGTACGACATACTGACTCGTTTTCGGGCAAGGTAATCCGATAAACCTTATTTACAAACTTGTAACAGTCACATTTGTAATAGTGTTTTAAAGCCGGATACAAAATAATAGTTTATCTCCGGGATATCAGTGTAACGATC